CCTGGGACACCATCGGCAGAAGTACGTATCACATCGTAGCTGCATGGCATTAATTTATTCAACTTGTCTGGCACGTAAACAGGCGTAGAGAATTGCGTCAGCAATCGCTATGTCGACACGCTAAAATACAGCCTAGTCAGTGTGAAAAGATGGAAGATGGATGGCATGTGCATTGAAGGTATAGAAAGTCACGTTGTCTAGTTGGCAGGAACACACACAAATTGCGTGTCTTGACTGAACTCCCACCTCTCTCAACCAGCAACAAACTTAGCTTGTGTCATGTGGCTGCAAACGAAACAGAATGCCTTGTGGACATCTGTGGTTGGAGACAAACCGACGTTGACACACAGGAAGAGTTGTTAAGTGCATGAATCCTCGACAAGTGCACAGGCCTCTATTGTCCTTAATTTAGATTGCATTCAGCCACAGCGGTCTGGTCCGTTGGAAATCAAGGCGGGTGGACTGGATGAGGTGGAAATCGTTTGTGCTCGTAAGACGACCTGTGAATATGATCCAATTGTACGTTCGATCCTACGTTGATACACATCTCTGTTAAACGCAGCACCAGTTCTTCTGTTTATCGATGGTTGTCATTGTAGGTTTGTGTTTGTGTTGCGACAACTGCCAAGCATTTTTTAACAATTCTGCACTTCAAATGCGGCATCTCAATGTGCTGCTGCCACACTACAAACTACCGTTGTGGTGGCGAATGTAGGCCCAATCGTACTAACTCATCAACTTCAAGGTTGACAACAAACATGTCAATCGACAATCGACCCAACCAGCAACACAACAATTGTAGAAAAAGTGTCTTAAGTCTACCTGATGTGTGTGTGCTTTGCCAGTCCTCCAAAATTTGACTGTGGCAGTAATTAACACGGAGCTTTGTCTTTAAGAGCTTTCAATTAACTGCTTTTCAGACTCTAATAGTGGACGACAAAGGAATTATATGCAGAGATTTCATGAGTCCTCGATGCAGTAAGTCAAGAATTCTTCCTTCTTCGTGGCAAAACTGATCACATGTGTCTATATTTGTGTCCAGGTGTAAGGTCGAAGTTGCGGTGCGAGACTAACCATCAAACTGAAGTTGAAACACAGAAGTAGAGAAAAGAGATGACACGGCCTCTGACACGCAACGATTTTGTCCATCGTATGTGTCTGTATGCAGCATGTTAACCAGTCGAACCCAATGGTATCACTTGGCTTATAGACACCGAGTTGTGACCAGTCACGTAGCAATGAGCGGTTGACAGTGTTTTGTTGCTAATTGCCCTGAACCACGACACAGGCAGCAGATTGGATGGAATGCACTCTAATTTACGTCAATTCCTCATTAAATTCACAGTGTCACATGTTACTCACTGACACAATAGTGTCGCGCTTGGTGTCTCGACCGTTCTGACTTCGTTGTGCACTTTCCTCCAGATGAAACCTACGAAGGTGATATAACAATGATAAACGCGGTGTATCCCAGACCTGAGGGAGTCGACCTGTCCTACGTGTATTGCTCGACCTATAACTCCTTCCTCTCTTATGCCATTGATTGGGCTAATTCAGGTAAGTTGTCTTCAGCTCAATCATGCACCTGCTGTTTCGGCTTGAGTCATAGCGCCCGCAAGTGCACACTGCATTCAGATGATGCTTCACTGTGTCACCTTGGTGATGCATGCAGTCAAACTTTCTTGCTGATGTCATGGGTGGACAGACTAGTCATTGAAATGATGCCGTTGCTGGCCTTCAGCAAAGCTGACAGGTGGATTGCATGAGAGCGGACTTAGACCACGCCACTGTTCTCGTTCTCTGTCTTTTGCCTGCAGCTTTGCGGCTTTGTCACTTGCATCACGTTCACGATCACGTCCTGTTCAACGCGATTCGCTGAACCAAAACTGCTTTACCTCACACCGCAACCTCTTTAATTTGGTTTCCCTTTCAGCCTAGAACACGAACGTGGAACGTTGAAGCACAGGGTCAACTCATGTGTTCATTCGTAGTTTAGTCTAATAAATGCATATGATTCTTTGCAATGTTAAACGTGTGTTTTCGTCTTACTTGGAGTGGCATTGGGTTTTGGAACAGAACAACATGTGTCAAATTGTAGGCATGGCAATCTTATAGGGGATTTACGATTCCCCAAGATTGATATCTGATGCTATTTACATTAATTCACTAACAGGTGATTTGCTTTGCCTTTTATCAAGTCAAGGTCAAACCTGACTTGAATTAATTTCGTTTTCACTGTCGGAACTTGGCTTTTCTGCACGTGGCTGACGTGAATAAAGCTCTCTACACGAGCTCTGGTCTTGTCTTTGTATTAGCCTGGGAGCGTCAGTTCAATATTTAGCAAGTGAATTGGAACCGTTATTTGAGTGGTTTTTCACTTTGTTACGAGTAAACGTGATGACTGTGGTGACGCAGATTTTTCTTGAGATGAGTGACATAGGGATGGAACAATTAATCCATTGGCTAGTATCAATGCTTGAGGATTGCCAGTCGACTCAGGCCGCTCCTGCCAGTACGCCGTTAATTGACGGCCTCGAAGTTTTCCTATGATCCGTAGAACGACGCTATGTTTGAGTCGTGGTATCAGCGTTACGAATACCTGTTCCGAGTCGATCTCGCATCGAAAGTCAGACTCTTTACCCGCAAATTGGGCCCAGCCGAACTGAAGACACACCTCTACACTCTCCTCCCCAAATCCTCACTCAGCTTTACTTTTGGAGAAACCGTTCAAAATCTTAAGCGCGTGTTTGGAGAACGCACCTCCTTATTCAGTTCCCGGTACCAATGCATCAAATTCACATTTGGACAGTTTGACGATTTCCTTGATCATCTGGCAGTGGTCAGTCGAGAGTGCGAAATAAGTCAGTTCAAGTCAATGACTGATGACAAGCTCAAAGCTCTCATTCTCATATGTATCCTTCAAATCTCTAAATACACGGTTCTACGAACGCGGCTGCTACACCGATTGACCAAAATCTCTCTGAGAAGCTTGACAATATCGGCGATGAATAGTTACACTGGGCAAGCGTGCTGCATGACTCCAGAATAGTACAAGCTGGTGGCAGCAGTGCTACCAAAGACAACGCCGTTGAGCGTATCAAAATAACATCTGCCATTTCTGGCCCACCCAGCCCTCGTCAGTCAAAATCAAACGGAGAATCAGCCGAAACAAATCGTCGGATGAAAATCAAGGGACACAACTCCTACTGCGTGTTGGCACTGAGGGCCGTGGCATTGTGTCAAGTTCTGCCCTTACAAGCACCATCGATGCCAGCGACGTAAAGCTAGGGGCCACAAGTACGGATAATGTCAATCATTCTCGTCTAACAGGAATGGACTTCACCCTCACCTTCACACAAATGGAAGGTCAAAAGCCAAACCAGCCAGCTCCACAATCTCATCCCTCAGCCTGCTGGTCACTTACGAAGACACTTCACAGCAACAGAGGATGTATACAAGCGTCCTTATCAATAGCCCTCCAGTTCGTCTGCAGCTTGACACGACATTATATTCGATAGTGGATTACATTTGCTGAAACAAGTGATTTTACATAGGTAATTGGACATGCTCTCAGGGCAAGGCTGCACGATGTCTCGGAGTCGAGATGCTTAGTGTTGGTCCACATCCGGCACCTAAAAAGAAAATGCAAATTCTAGGGGCAAAAGGGTCATCTGCTCCAATTTATATTTTGAATGGAACCCAGAAAATTTGCATCAGTGCTTTTACGAGTTTACGAAGGCGACACACGGCAATATGCTGCTTTGCTGATGGACACACATCTGCGACCCAACACATTTTGCCAGATGTAGTTGTTGCTATTTGAAAAAAACGAAATGCCAAAGGTGAGGCAAAATCTAACACGTAACCTTCAAAATCAACTAAGCGCATATCTAATTATGACTAGCAAGAATATTTGCACGCCATATTAAATGCCCTGATCACCGACAAATACTTTATTCACTAGTGGCATTCAAGAAGCCTGTAGTGGATTAACAGTGATCGCGGCTAATTAAACCCTGGTTACCGACGTGACGGAGACAATGATTCATAAACTTTTCATTGGTTACAACATTGGATGCCTGTTATCCGTTCACTAATCCATACACTAGGACACACTTGTCTGGTGTGACGATAAAATACGGTCGTGTCCTCTGTCATCTCTTTTTTCACTCTTCTCGGGCTGAAACGGCATGTAAACCAGAGGGTTGTAAGGTAGTGCTAGACCCTTGCCACAACAAGTGTTTCTGTCCTTGAAGATAGTTAAGGAGTCGTTCGAAAGTAAGTGAATGAATTCTATGAGGTGGCATTCAGAGTGAGATGCCCAATCCCCAGGGCTTGCCTTCATGTCTCATGTGAAGGCTTACACCATTGCGATTACCCACCTCTCATTTGCAAGGCAATCAGCCTAAATGGATGTGTTCTAAAATTACGCAGGTAAGTTGATTTACTTCGTGGTGTCAGTCACTTACGTCTCATGAAATCAACACATATCCTTGTGAAAGACAGAGGACGGAGATTTGAAATCAACAGTCATAAATGTTGACAGAATAAATGCCTACATTGTTCGCGACATTGACGGCTCATATCCACCGTCCCACTCACCACCTCCCGTAAGTGACTTTATTTTTAATTAGCAAATGAATGTACCATAATTGAGTGCAGGAATGTGAACAACTGTTAACGCAAATAACTGTCAACGCAGCGACGGAAGTTAGCTTGCAGCAGGCTATTCAACAATTACCGGACATTGCTGAATGGCACAATCTTGACAACTTAAATTGTACCACTAACTGCCAAAGGCAACAAATCACAATACTTGGCACAGTTGCAATGTATGACACTGGATGCAAACAATTGGCACTGGATTAAAATGCCAAACCATTTGAGAGCTATGTGATTCACAAATCTGCCGCATCGTGCTTGCACCTTTAAGCACAACTAGGTTAACGCCGAGGTGCTCATGTGCTCGAGGGTTTAATCAACGTGGTGATTGAGGCAGCTTCAAAGGCAAGTACAGTGGTGCAAATCAAATTTCGGGTGTTAACCTTTGCACATTTAATGAGCACTACGGGAATGTGAAGATGTTATTGAACCTACATGGTCGCTTGGCCCTCTCATTGAATCAGATATGTGGTTTTCTGGAAATGCAAACTAGTGTGTCGTTTGATATGGAACGTAAAAGCATTGCGGCTTGCAGTCCCTCTTGCATTTTGTTGCGTCACATGGCGTTTTTCCCTATAAATGCGTTTCATTATTGTTTTACATAAACTTTTTCGGTTCTGTTTTCTGAGACACTGTGTCATTTAAACATCCGCCGTGAAAAACTGCATTTGGACAGAGCATACATCAGACTCACGACATCCAGGATCTAAGTTGCATGGATTTTGAAAGAGCCATAACAAATAAATTGAAATGGATTTGTTTGATATACTTCGAATGCATTACATTCTCCTAGCAAGTGAAATCATCTAGTCAATACACGTCAACGCGTGAATAAGTTGCATGAGCGCCCATGTATTTGGTAAGCCATCTACACAATCCAGTAGTGCTTATTGGGTGAACGAAGTGCAGCACTCGAGAATTGATTTACACCACTACACGTGCCTGTGATGCCTCTTCAACGAAAACGTTAATTGAACCCCGATTATTTGAGCTGGTATTAATTGAGTATTAATAGAGCTGGAATTAATTGGTATTGGTATTAATTAATTGGTTTTAATTGGTATTAATTAATTGGTATTAATTGAGTTCCCGTGAAGGTGCATATACGATTTCCCAGATTTAGAACTGGCGCTGCTCTTACGTGGATATACATTGTACTAGGCCATGTGAAAATTGAACCAACCACCATAGCATCTGGTCGCTTAAACCTCCTATATTCCCCACATTACCATGCAACAGTGCAGCCATTCTCACACTAGACGATTGCTTAATATTACATTTTCCACAGGCATTGTGTCGACATAGGACAGGTGCACACACACGATGAGGAAGCACATGTCCTGCATTTATGTAAAAATGTACGTGTCACAACTAAGATAAATTATTTCATTATACAAAACCAGCCACATTTCTGCGAATTTAGCAAACATCCTGTTCTGCTACACTGCGCAGTCTTGTCTGTGTAAAAACTGGTGTTACCAGAATGCGATTTCAATAATAGTGACCAATTGTTTGCCTTGCACCAATGACAGTGAATATCACAGGTGAACATTTGTTGGCATTGAGGTTGTCACACGTTTAATCGAAAGGTTTTGCACGTCACTGAATTGCGGGCATCAAATGTGCCAAGTTGCACTTGCACTTTTACGCAGAACTCAATTGCTGAGAAGACCCTCCGGCTTTCTTTATATGTGGTCATTGAAGTGGCATTAGAGGCATGCGAGGAGATGCAATTTCCGTGTGCATGAATCACTTTGCTCAAGTAATTACAAAGCATGATGGTAAAGAGGCCTACTAAACGCATTCCCTTAAACTCAATCCAAGAATACATCATGCAGACACTTCCTACTCCCAGTACTTTGCTGAAAATACTTTTGTTTGATTTAGGTTGAACATTGAAATATTTGATGATAAAGGCATGCGATAAAAATGATTTGCAGGTAAATTAGATTGGCAGAAAGTGAAGGAGTGTGTAAACGTAGGTTGAAAAGGCACAACGCAGGCCCATTCGCAAATTCCTGACTGCAGCAATCTGTCAAAAGCGTGGGTGCCATGACCAGGACCGAGAGCATAAACACATCCATATTTCGTGTTACACATTACC